ATACCCCCCACAGCACGGGGGGGGGGGGCGCACCCAGCCCCACACCCAGACACAAGCCCCTGGCTTTGCCTGGGGTCTGGCCATCCCACCGGGCTCCTGGCAGGGGGGTGGGGAGGTCCAGGCAGGTAGTGGGTGGATGCAGGTGCCGTCCACTAGCCCAGGAGGGGCCCCACCTCTTGGCCACACTGCTTCAGAGGACTGGCTTCGGGCTTGTCCACCCTGGATGGGACGTGTACCTGGGGGTAGAGGCAGCAGCTGCCAGCCAGGAGTGGCACCCCCATGCCCTGGGCACCTTTCCGCCCGGCCGGCCACCCTCACCTGCAGGACGACGCCCATGACTGGCAGGTTCAGGGTCTGCCCAGGCACCGGGGCCGGCCACTGGTCAATCTCACTGCACACTGTAGTCCAGGGGGTCAGGGTCAGAGCCTGCCCTGTGGAAGCGGCCTGCCGAGGCCACTGGGTCCCACAGCTGGACGATGAGACTCTCTGGCTGTCCCAATGGCCACTCACCTGCTTCCAGGCAGGGCGCCAGCTTGTCAAAGTACTCGGGGGCGATCAGGCTCAGCAGCGCCTGGAACAGCCGGGTGAAGGGCAGGCGGGACACCAGCACCAGAGACTGCAGGCCCACGGCCGGGAGAGGTCACCCAGCCGCGCCGGGAGAGGTCACCCAGCCGCGCAGGCGTCTGCAGGGCCCTGGGCCTGGCTCATCCCGTCACCCAGGGCCGTGCGCTCCGCCAGCTCACAGGACAGCTGTCCCCGGACGGCCCAACTCGGACCCCAGGGCTATTCTTCCCCGGACAGGAAGGGAAACCCCGAGGACACGGGTGGGGCTGGACCCTGGGCCTTCAGAGGAAATGCATGTGGCCAAGGTTTCTCTGGGGGTCTGAGCTCAAGGCTGAAGCTCACGTCCTAATCCTAAGAGTGAGAAGCAGGGGGTCTGGGGCCAGGTGCTGTGCTGGGTGAGGGAGGGGCTGCAGCAAGGGTGGGGTGGGGGGCACCCTCACCCCCTGCCTGCTGCCCGGTGCCCCTGCCCTCAGCGCCTGTCTCAGTGGTGCCCCTCAGGGGGCCCCGGGCTCACCTTCTGGAAGTAGCCCCTCTTCACGGAGCTGTCCTTCACCTGCCGGAAGTACACGTAGCCGAAGTAGTGTGCGGACTCCCTCTGGAAGGAGCAGTCAGCAGGTGGCGCCACTCCCCACGCGGCTCCTGCCCACCCAGACCCAGACCACTCTGCGGGGCTGCTCCACGCTGTCCCTGGTCCTGGGGGCAGGCCCGCGCACCCTCCACTCAGAAGCGGGGAAGCACCTCCAGAGGACCATCTGTGCAGACTTGGGGAGCAGCCAGGCCGCTGCACACCAGCCACACCCGGCCGCTCGCATGTGCACAGGGAGAGCTCCGTGGAGGCCGGGGCTGGCCAGCGCCCTCCTGCCCCACAGGCCCAGGCACCTGGGAGGGGCTCCCGGGCCAGCCTGAGCCTGGCCTGTGGGCAGCGGAGGCCGGAGAGGCAGCCCACTCACCTGCAGGGACACGGGGGCCGCGCGGTCGTAGTGCCTGTCGTCGGTGGGCCGGGGGCTCCTCCGCCCTCCACACTGACGGATTCGGAAGCTGAACTGCGTGTCCCCGAGGCAGCCTGGGAAGGGGCAGCCCCCTCCATGTCAGGGCCGGAGGCCCACCCGCCACCACGCGTGGGTGGGGACACAGGGACGGGGAGGCCCTGTGAGTCTGACTGCTGAAGGCCCCAGAGAGAAAGCCCCGCTGCTGCGTCTGGTTCTCCCAGGGGAAGCCCCTGTGTCCTCACTCCTGCCCCTGCGTTTCAGAGTAAAGTCCGCACCCAGACGCACGGGCAGCAGCCCCTGTCGGAGCACAGGTGGCAGTCCGGAGAGGCAGTGTGGCGGGCAGGCTGAGCCCAGCACCCGGAGCGGGGGAGCAGCAGAGCCAGCTCCTGGTGGCCTGAAGGAGTCCAGACCCCGCTGGCCCCTCTTCCCGCACAAATCAGGGAACCTGTTGCCTCTGCTGCATGGTGGGCTCAGGTGTCTCCTCAGAGCGCTTCTGGGCTGTGCTGGGCACGGCCTGGGCCCCAGGGGCTCCCGGATGGTCTCCCCCCCACCCTCTTCCTCTTACCCCCACCCCCACCCCCCAGAGCCGGGAGGCTGCTGGAGTCGCCTACCTGAGTGGGAGTCAGGAAAGGACAGGTAGCAGATGCTGCTTTTCTGAAACATATGAAACCCGGTGAGGGCTGGCTCGCTCCTGGGCGCCGTCTGCTCCCCAGCGGGCGGGACCCACCTCCTTGTCCGTGAGCCGGAAGTCACTAGGGTACACCAGCTGCGGGCACAGAGCGCTCGGTGAGGCTGGCGGGCTGCTGGGCTGCAGTGTGCTCCTCTCCGCGCCCCCCCCCACCCCGCCAAGCGCACCTCCTCCTTGGCTCAGACCCTCCTGCCTCTCCCGCCTCGGGCTCCCCAGGCCTCTCAGCACCAGGCCCCTAAGGACCCTCCTCACCTTGGCCAGCACACCCCTGGGCAAGCTCCCCACCTCCCTGCCTGCACCCCTGGCCCTCGAGGCCACTTGCCCAAACTGTGCTTGGGTCTCCCTGACTCCACCATCGGCCCTCTGTCCCCACAGCTGCAGGAGGTGCTTCAGATCCTGCCATGGTCTCTCTCGCCTGGACTGGCTGCAGGGCCCTCCCACTTCCTGGACCCCATCCCACCAGCCAGAAGGCCTGAGCTATGCCATTCCCCTGGGAGGCTCTCAGATCGGGCCAGCAGGCCCCTCACCTGCTCTTTACGCAGACGTCACCTGACACAGTGGCTTCGCTGTCTCTCCACTAGCCCCCACTAGTCAGGGGTCCGGGAGCTTCTGACCTGTGCCCCGCCCCGAGTGTGAGCTCCAGGAGTGTGCCCTGGGCTCCGCAGTGTCCAGTGAGTGTGACCAGCTAGACAAGTCACACCCCTTGGGAGTGGATGGTCAGTGAAAACCCGGACACTAAGTGACCGGCTCTGAGTGACCTGCGGGGGGCGCACTGCCCACTGGACTCCTGGCAGGGTCTCTGCACAGACCTGACGATTCCGAGGGGCCCTGGGCTCCCAGCACCCACGCCCTGAGCTGTGCAGCCTCATCAGCTGCCCAGAAGCCCAAGCACACAGAGCTGTAAGGCCACTTGCTTAGAATTCACTTTCTAAATGGTTACATTCTAGAAAATTAGACACGAAAATGCCGTAAGGAAATGAAATAATCTCTTAACTTTTCTTGTGATTTAAATTTTTTTTTTTATTGATTTTAGAGCAATAAGAAGGGAGAGAGAGAGAAAAAAACCCCAGCAATTTGTTGCTCCACTTACGTATGCATTCATGGGTTGATTCTTGCATGTGCCCTGACCAGGGTGGAACCTGCAACCTTGGTGTGTCCAGACGACCAAATAAGCTACCCGGCCAGGGCCTGCTCTTGTATTTTATTATTATTTTAATCCTGACCTGAGGAGATGCTTTTACTGATTTGAGAGAGAGAGAGAAAGGGAGAGGGAGAGGGAGAGGGAGAGAGAGATAAAGAAACATTGATGTGAGCCTAGCTGGTGTGGCTCAGTGGTTGAGTATCGACCTATGAACCAGGAGGTCAGGGTTCCATTCCTGGTCAGGGCACATGCCCAGGTGGCAGGCTCGATCCCCAGTGTGGGGTGTGCAGGAGGCAGCTGATCAATGATTCTCTCTCATCATTGATGTTTCAATCTCTCTCTCCCTCTCCCTTCCTCTCTGAAATCAATAAAAAATGTATTAATAAAATACATATCCTATCCTATATAATAAAACCTTAATATGCAAATTGACCAAATGACCAGTAGCTATGATGCGCACTGACCATCAGGGGCAGACACTCAATGCAGGAGCTGCCCCCTGGTGGTCAGTGCACTCCCACAGGGGGAGCACTGCTCAGCCAGAAGCCAGGCTCAAGGCTGGCGAGCGAGCGCAGTGGCAGTGGCGGGAGCCTCTCCTGCCTCCAAGGCAACACTAAGGACCCCTCGGGGGATGTCCAACTATCGGAGGGGAGCGGGCCTAAGCTGGCAGTCAGACATCCCCCAAGGAGTCCCGGGCTGCGAGAGGGTGCAGCCTCTAACGTTTGTGTGTGTGTGTGTGTGTGTGTGTGTGTGTGTGTGTGTATGTGTGTACTGTGTATATATACACACACACTGAATGTCCAGATTATTATGACCACCTGACCTTCGTAGGCAAATTAGCTATAATTTCGTGCTGAAGTTGCTAGAGAGCCAGACCATTACAAATAGGGGAGCAGGTTGTTTACCACGCAGTAGAAGTGACTTTTTTCTGAAGTTATGGGTAAACAACGCGATTTAACAGCCTTTGAACGTGGGATATATTTGAACGTGAGTGGCCAGATTATTATGACCACCTGACGTTTGTAGGCAAATTAGCCGTACACTGCATCGTATGGGGTATGGAAGCCGAAGGCCTGTTCGAACACCTTTGCTGTCTGCAGTTACCAAGATAAAACGTCTCCAATTCGCACAGGAACACAAGGATTGGACAGTTGAGCATTGGAAAAAAGTCATGTGGTTGGATGAATCACGTTTCCAGTAGCATCATGCAGATGGCAGAGTGAGAATTTGGCAGAAACAGCATGAAAGCATGCACCCCACATGCATGAGTACAACCCTTCAAGCTGGTGGGGGCAGTGTTATGGTTTGGGGCATGTTTTTCTGGCACGATTTGGGCCCTTTAATTCGTGTGGAACAACGTCTGAATAGCACAACATACCTAAGTATCATTGCTGATCAAGTTCATCCTATCATGTTGAAGACATATCCCAATGGAGATGGCTTCTTCCAACAAGACAATGCGCCATGCCACAGTGCTCATATTGTGCAGGAGTGGTTTCAAGAACATGAGGGAGACTTTACCTTGCTGAGGTGGCCCCCACAATCCCCAGATCTCAATCCAATTAAGCATTTGTGGGACGAAGTTAAAAGAGCCATCAGGCAGCTGGTTCCACAACCATCAGATCTCACAGAACTGGACAGTGCTATTCATCAGGCACGGTGTCAGATTCCTCGCATCACCTTTCAACGTCTCGTGGAGTCAATGCCAAGAAGAATCGCCGCAGTATTGAAGGCAAAAGGTGGCCCAACGAAGTACTGATGGGGTGGTCATAATAATCTGGCCACTCATGTTCAAATATATCCTATGTTCAAAGGCTGTTAAATCGAGTTGTTTACCCATATCTTCAGAAAAAAATCACTTCTACTGTCGTGGTAAACAACCTGCTTCCCTATTTATAATGGTCTGGCCCTCTAGCAACTTCAGCGCGAAATTACAGCTAATTTGCCTACAAACATCAGGTGGTCATAATAATCTGGACACTCAGTGCATACATATTTTTTTTAAAAGAAAAGAAACATGTATTGGTTGCCTCCCACATGATTGAACCTGTAACCTTGGTGTAGCTGGACGACACTCTAACCAACTGAGCTACTCAGCCAGGACTTCTCTTGTGATTTTATGGGGAACAATTTGGGCAACAGTAAGAATGTGGGCTCTGTGATGTTGGGCGCACCACCTCACCTCTCTATGCTTGGGCCCCTCCAAGAGCTGGGCGGACACAGTAACGCACGCCTGGTGGGGATGGTTTGGTGGGTGGGGTTTGCACAGAGCTGGGCACCGTGCCAGGGCCCGAGTCCTCACTGAGAGTCAGCCCTTTCTGTCTCAAAGACCTGGGTTTCCCATGGCCTTGCGGGGCTCAGCAAGGCCTCAAATAAAAACATCCCTCATCCCCATAGGCTTTCCAGGATGGGTGTGCAGCCAGCCTCCTCTGGGCCAGCTGCAGCCCCAGGTGCCCTGCCTGTCCCCTCCCAAGAAGTCCCCGAGGGTGTGGTGAGGTCTACTCCAGCCTCCCCTGCACCGGCCAGCTTCCTGGCCTGCAAGATGGCCTTCAGGGCGTGGGGACCATCCTGACAGCCCTTGGGAAGGCCTCTGCTGCATTTTCACCTACACCCAGAGGAAGAGAAGCTGCTGGGTGGGGGGCGGGGAGCACTGCAGACAGTGGGAACACCCAGGCCCCAGCGGGGTGCAGCAGGCTGGAAGAGGACCCACAGGGTCTGGATCCGATTCTAAGTGAACGAAGAGGTGCAGCCGGATTTAAGCAGAATAGCCACAAAGGAGGAGGTCACAGCAGCGGGGGGAATGATCTGAGGTCCTTGTTGCCAGTGGAAGTGTCAGCCTCTTCCGCCCATAGGGTGTGTGTGTGTGGGGTGGGGTGGGGTGGGAGGAGGCTGGGGTGACCCCTGGGATTCTGGCTGGAGCAACGGAGGGGAGACGGTGCCGCGGCCACTATGGGGAAGGGGGAAACGAGGTTGTTTTTTCTTGAGGAAAGTCAAGGGCATCGCTTGGGTTATCCACAGTGCAGGGCCCCTATCTCCTCCATCCCAGGGGGGAAGTCGCCTCTCCTTCCTCTGCTGGGGCGCGCCTCTTCCAGGAAGTGACAGCACAGAGTTTCGGAGAGGGAAAGGCCGGCGGCCGCGGGACCACCGCCCCCTCCGCCCTCCGCCCCTCGCTCACCTCCAGCGCCTGTCCCAGCTCCAGGTCGAAGGTGACCACGCACACGCACTCCAGCCAGGCCGAGAAGCGCGCCCAGGGCGTCGCTGGAGCCCGCGCCCCCGAGGACGGCGCGCCAAGGCGGTCGCGAGGCCGGCGGGGCCAGGCGCCCGACGGCGCGTCCATCGCGGAGACGGTAGCTGACTGCAGCGCGTTGCCGGGGAAACGGCCAGGAGGCGTTGCCCGGTAACTGCCTGGAGGCGGTGGCCGCGGCGCAGGTCGGGAGCGCGCCGCGGAGCAGCCGAGCGGCGGTCGTGGGCCAGAGAGGCCTTTCAGAGGTCTCGCCGCCCCCTGGCGGCCGGAGGAGCGCAATGCAGCGGAAAGGTGCCGAGCCCACCAGCGAGACGGGCCCGCGCGAGCTAGAGCGGCCCGGAACGCTGAGGCGGGACTTCCGGCGGGTTTGTGGGGGACCCGGGAAGTGGGTCTGACGCGCGTTGGGCCCTGGGCAGGATGTTCCCTTTCCACTAGTCGCGCAGTCCGGCGATGAGGGTCTGCACCGCGGCTGCTCCCTGGGGCCCTGCAGAGCTGCCCCGGCCCGGGTTCGCGCCTGCCCGGGCCGTCTTTTTCCCCACGGCCAGTCCTCGGGGCGTGCGACGGCGCCCACGGCCTGCTCTGGCCTCCTGGTCCGCGCCCTCGAGTGTTCTGCGCCTCGTCGGGCTGCCCGGCTCGCCGTCCCAGGCGTAATGGCCGAAACCAGCCAGGATGCATTGCGAGGCCACCAGTGTCACAGCCGAGTGAAGAACGAGTTTGAAGCTGAGATAGTAACTACTTAACTGACAGGTCATATATTTTAGTTTTTAGGTGTTTATTTTATTAAAATACTAGTGGCCCGGTGCACGAATTCGTGTACATTGAAAGGGAATTAGCCGAAACCGGTTTGGCTCAGTGGATAGAGCGTCGGCCTGCGGACTGAAAGGTCCCAGGTTCGATTCCGGTCAAGGGCATGTACCTGGGTTGCGGGCACATCCCCAGTGGGAGATGTGCAGGAGGCAGCTGATCGATGTTTCTCTCTCATCGATGTTTCTAACTCTCTATCCCTCTCCCTTCCTCTCTGTAAGAAATCAATAAAATATATTTAAAAAAAAAAGAAAGGGAATTAATTAGAAGAAATATTTTAATATCGATATTCGCCTTTTCTCTATAATGGAAGTGTCAACCAAATTCACAACTTACAATGACAAATGGAAAGACATGCCCTGCGATTGGCGGCAGCGAGAGCTTTATATGTATCGCGCATGCGCGAGTCAACTTAGCCTTTTCTAGATATAGAACAAACTTGCTTCATTAGTCCGGCTTTCTGGTTTAGCTAAACTTTTCCCAGCCCAGTGAAGCACCCCAATTTCTCTTTCAGGTAATTGTCAGCAACATAGCAGTAAATACCAACACGAAGCAGATGATTATTGTAGATCACAAAGGGAGAACAAAAGGTGAAATATTTAACTGCAGCAGTGTTTGACTATATTCTGCACAGTGAGAAAACCTGAAGTCATTTTCAAGGTCCACCATTTCTTCTTTTCAGTCGGGTCAAGTTTCTAAGCTTTCTAAAGCTCTGTTTTCTGGCTAATGGAAAGAAAATAGGATTCCACTGAGTCTCCTATCTGCGTACTTCAGAACTTCTGTGAGGATCAAATGAGATGAGGCAGACATTTGGTTACAGTGTAAAATGTTTCCACCTAACTATAGAGCAAGTCATGTTCCTGGGCTGAAGAAATTTCAAGGAGGCTGGTCGCTAGGGAGAGGAAGCAGGGTGTTACTACATCATTACCCAGATGGTCAGACACTTAGCATATTAGCCTTTTATATATATAGACTAGAGGCCCGGTGCCCGAAATTTGTGCACGGGGGGGCGGGTGTCCCTCAGCCCGGCCTGTGCCCTTGGGGGATGTCCAACTGCAGTCAGACATCCTCACAATCCGGGACGCTGCATGCACCAGTGACCACACTTTTCACACAGGTGAAAGGCATCTTGCTGCTGTATGGGCAGCTACATTTTTTTGCCCTGATTATAAAAAGTAGTACATAATAGGATCCTTCTGAGGCAGTAGCACCATTTTCCCCATCTTATGGGTGGGAAAACTGAAGCAGAGAGAAGTAATTGGCGTTGCCACACAGTTATAAGTGTCAGGATCAGGGCTGACCACAACATGTGCAAGCCAGAGTCCATGCATGTCATTGCTACATCATCCTGTTTTTTCAGTGTTAGAGCAGCCTTGCCCGGTTTTAATTTTTAAATCTAAGAGACTGTTCCCAATAGATAGTGTAAGGTCCCTAGGCCTGGCCGGCAATCAGGGCCGATCTGTGGGGCGACCGGCGGGCGGAGTGATCAGGGGGCCCCCACTGGCACCCACCTTGGCTGGGGGTCTGACATTGCCCGCTGGCCAGCACTGCCCCCAACCCCGCTGCTGCCGCTGGTCGCCTTACCCTCGGGGGCAGCTCCTGCGTTGAGCATCTGCCCCCTGGTGGTCAGTGCGCATCATAGCGACCAGTCATTCCGCAGGTTGTTCTGCTGTTCAGTCAATTTGCATATTAGGGTTTTATTATATAGGATATTTTTATTGATTTCAGAGAGGGAGGGAGAGGAAGAGAGAGATAGAAACATCAGTGACAAGAGAGAATCATTGATCGGCTGCCTCCTGCATACCCCACACTTGGGACCAAGCCCACAACCCGGGCATGTGCCCTGACCAGGAATTGAACTGTGACCTCCTAGTTCCTAGGTCAAAGCTCAACCACTGAGCAATGCCCGCTGGGCTGGTGTGTTGTTGTTTTTTAAGGGAACCTCCCCTGTCCCATTCCATGGTCAGCCGGGCTAGGCTGCAGGGACAGCCCATCTTGGTGGCTGGTAGGAGAGTTGGGGGTCCCTGTTTCTCTAGCTCAGGGCCTCCGTGGTCACCTGCAGTGGGAAAGAGAGTGATGAGGCCTCTAGCTGTGAATTGCCTTGGCCTACAGGTGACGTCTCCATCACTTCTACTTACAGGAGGTGGGCCCACACTAGTCACGTGGTCCCAACCTCACTGCAAGGGACCCTAAGAAATGAAGAATATGGGAGCCACAAAATTATTACCCTTTATAATGACCACCTGTCATTGAACTTGTGATGGGACCCTTATTTCATAAATCACCAAGGTAGGGAAACTGCTACCAATTACAAAGCGATGAGCATTCAAATGATTTCAAAGATTCTATTATGAAATGTTCGAACATGCAGAGGAGATCAATGAATGGTACAATGACCATTTATCTCCTGCCTAGAATCACATCAATAATTAATATTTTGGTCCGGCCGGTGTGGCTCAGTGGTTGAGCATCGACCTATGAGCCAGGCTGTCACAGTTTGGTTTTGGGTCGGGCATATGCCCAGGTTTCGGGCTTGATCCCCAGTGTGGGGTATGTAGGAGGCAGTGGGTCCATGATTCTCTCTCATCAGTGATGTTTCTCTTTCTCTCTCCCTCTCCCTTCCTCTTTGAAATCAATAAAAATATATTTTTTTAAAAGAGGAAGAAACAGCTCTCCTAACCCCTTGACGTTAGCCACCAGTCATTGCAGGTCTCTGACTTCTAGAAGTGTAAGAAAAGGGTAGTGAGCACGGGGGGGTGGGGGTGGGGGGGGGATTGGGGGCGAGCACGGGAGGGGACTGGAAGAGGTTTATGGCAGGGAAAGGTGGACCTATGTAATACTTTCAACAATAAAGATTTTTTTTTAAAAAAAAAGAAGTGTAAGAAAGTAAATGTGTGTTGTTTTAAGCTACTAAGTTTATGGTGATTTGTTACAGTAACAGTAGGAACCGAATACATACAATGTGTCTTTTCTGTCTGGTTTCTTGCACTTAGCATAATATTGCAGAGATGTATCCATGCTGTTGCCTATGTCAGTAGTTTGTTCCTTTCTATGAACAGTAGTCCATTGTCTGGATATCTGGCATTTTCTTGATCCACGTACCTGGGTCGGGTTAGTTCCCTGATTGGGAGGCAATCAATCGATGTCTCTTCTCTCTCTCTCTCTCTCTTCCTCCCTTCTACTCTTTCCGTGAAGCAATGGAAAAAATGTCCTCTGGTGAGGAAAAAAAAAAAGATATATTTTCCTAACCCAAATAATTTCTCCTATGTTTCTTCTAGAAGTATTTCAGTTCTCACATAAGTCTATTCATTTTGCATGAATTTTTGTGTGTGGTATGAAGGGTTTAAATTATTTTTTTTGCATATGGATAACCAATTTTTCAAGTATCATTTGTTGAAAACATAATGATTCCTTATTGAACTGACTTAGCACATTTATAAAAAAAAAAAAATCAACTGATCCTATTTGTGAGGGTTTGTTTTTTCTGTTCTGGTGGGTTTGGTTCCCGGTCAAGGGCATGTACCTGAGCCAAACTGGCTAGTTTTAACAGAAGAATACAATATTCAGTGCTACAGTGACAGATTGGAGGAGCAATTAACATAACCAGCGATACAATGACTGCTGCAACTGTGCATATGCTCATTTTGGGATAAGTGATGTTAACATAGAAATATTCAAACCCACCCTAGCTGGTTTGGCTCAGTGGATAGAGCCTCGGCCTGCAGACTGAAGGGTCCTGGTTTCGATTCCGGTCAAGGACACATGCCTGGGTTGTGGGCTCGATCCCTAGTATGGGGTGTGCAGGAGGCAGCCGGTCAGTGATTCTCATCATTGATGTTTCTCTCTCCCTCTCCTTCCTCCCTGAAATCAATAAAAATATAATTAAAACAATTCTTTAAAAAAATATTCAAACCCGTAAAGAATTTTTGTGAATTTATTTGAGCCAAACTGTGGACATATACCGGAAAGCAGAACCTCAACGAATTGAGATAATTGAGAACGACGGGTTACATCTGTATTTATACGTTGCAATCAAAGGAGGGACGTAGGTGGGTTACATGAAATCCATTGGTGATAGAGCAGAGAGGTGGGAGAAAGCAAATCAGGGAAACCCCTGGGATTGGGTGAAACGTAAAATGATGGACACATACTTAGGTGGGTGCAGGAACAATTAACAGGATAACAATGAAGGAATTTGTGGTCTCTGTCCTGGCGCCCAGCACATTAGGCTGTGCCCCAAGGGGTCCAGAAAAGGGGAAGTTACAAGTTACCCAGACATGTCAAGAGTATGTTATCATAGATGCAAAAAGACAGGTAGGCTCAGTGAAGGTAAAGGTTGACCTTGTCAGTGAAG